GATTTCAACTTCGCAAGGCGTGGGAGGATTGGCAACGTGTCGCTGGTGTTGTTCTCTTGAGAAAGGCAACTTTGAAGGTCCAGCCATCTGACGCCCAAAATAGTCACAGCTTTCTCTGCAATTCAGTTTAAATCCAAGCTGGTTGCCAAAACGCCACCTTCAGCATCCCTTTTTGGTTCGAACAAATCACCAAGCCCACTTCGCGCCCGAATTGGGCCAGGTCTCATACAACACGCTGTGCGGCCTTGGTGAAGGTTGGCTCCTGGGCTTACAGCTGCTCTTCGAGCAGAGGCGCTGCAGCTGCCGCCTGCGTCGAGGTTCTCAAAATGGTGATCCCCCACAGCCAACCCTCCCCCACCCCTCCCCCGCCCCACACCCCGCCCCGCCCCACTCCACCCGCCCCACCCCACCCCCGCTCCGCCCCGCCCCACCCCCCACCCCGCTGGGCCCCACCCAACCACCGCCCCACACCCCGCCCACCCTACCCCACCCCGCCACCCGAAATACGCGTTGCAGAAGATTGCTCAGGCAATGAGCCTGACGGAGGAAGGCCTGTTCCAGCTGGCAATTGCCGAAAGCTTGGACGACGCTTCAGAGCTTCAAGCCACGATTGCCGGCCTGGACGCTGGGTTGGGGTTCTCTTGGGAAAAAGAGGATCGGCGTTCCTGGCGACGGTGATTGCCAGTGCTGGGCGCTCAGCGAATTTGGAGTTGCGGGCGCAGATCTTGCAGAACCCTTCTGCAAGACCAATAGCGCTACGAACCCTTTGTGGAGGATTGCCTGGACGGCTTTCCTGCAAAGGGTGATCACAAAGTGGGGGGACAATTTGACACTTCAAGCATTCGCTGACGGCACGGGTCACGGCATCAGGGTCTATGTTGTTGCCCCAGACCCCGTCGCTGAGGACCGGGCGAACTCCCACAAAGTCACCCCAGCCTCCAGCAGCGAAAACCAGCCCTTTTCCTGGAGATTTGCTTCACGTTTGTTTGTGAGGTGGGGGGAACATTGTTTGACGCTGGACCGCTGCGCCAAAGCCCAAGAAGAAGCCTTGAGGTCAAAAGCGAAAGCTGAGACAGCGCCGCCCAGGCCCTTGAAGCACACATATGCTGCCGAGGAGGGTGAAATTTTGGAGGGCGTCAAGGAGTACTTCCTGGAAACGGCCCAGAGCTTGAAGGCTAAAGGGTCCCCTCGCACCTGTGCGTGCGGGGAGCCCACAGCCGGAACGCACTGGTACAGCTTCAGGCAGTACGTGGGCTACCTCCAAAAAGCTGACATACTCGCGTCTTCGTGCGTGAACGGCGAAGGCAAGACTTTGCCATCGCGCCTCTTGACCAGCAAGAACAGTCTGAAGGCCTTCTGCAGCGTTCGGAGGAGGACCGTCTTGTGTCTGTCCCCACCTTATCTTGCAAAAGTTTAGTGCTTTGGCGTTCTCTTTTTGATTTTACCTGCAGAGGCACAAAGTAAAAGCCGGGCGCGATCCAACTGTCGACCCGCAGCTTGGCAGTCCTTACGCAAGTGATCCTTCCGAAGTACCTCCGAAAGGGTGCGGCCAAAGTGAAGAAGACCAAAACCAAGAACATGGTCAACTTGTTGGCGCGCTTGGAAAGTCCTCCGCTGACAAGCGCGCCATCGAAGGCATTTTTGTTAACCCCGTCCCCCGCCCCACGCACCCCGCCCCATCCCCACTCCCCACTCCCCCCCCACCCCACCCCCACCCCACCCCACCCCACCCCACCCCACCACCCCACCCCACCCCACCCCACCCCACCCCACACCACCTCACCCCACCCCACCACCCCGCCCCACCCCACCCCACCCCGCCACCCCACCCCGCCCACCCACCCCACCCCATCCCACCCCACCCACCCCACACCCCACCCCACCCCCCACCCCACCCACCCCACCCCACCCACCACCCCACCACCCCACCCACCCCACCCCACCACCCCCACCACCCACCCCCCACCCCACCCCACCCACCCACCCCCACCCCACCCCACCACCCACCCACCAACCCGACCCAACCCCACCCCCACTCCCACCCCACCCAACCACCCCGACCACCCCCACCCCACCCCACCCCACCCCACCCCACCCCCACCCGCCCCCCACCCCACCCACCCCACCCCCCACGCCACCCTCACCCCGCCCCACCCCCGCCCCGACTCCACCCGACTAGGAGTCCCACTGCAAAAAAGCTTTAAAAGGGATCAATAAAAAACATTTTTTAAGGAAGGAAGGAAGGAAGGAAGGAAGGAAGGAAGGAAGGACGGAAGGACGGAAGGACGGAAGGACGGAAGGACGGAAGGACGGAAGGACGGAAGGACGGAAGGACGGAAGGACGGAAGGACGGAAGGACGGAGGACGGAAGGACGGAAGGACGGAAGGACGGAAGGACGGAAGGACGGAAGGACGGAAGGACGGAAGGACGGAAGGGCGGAAGGACGGAAGGACGGAAGGACGGAAGGACGGAAGGACGGAAGGAAGGACGGAAGGAAGGAAGGACGGAAGGAAGGAAGGAAGGAAGGAAGGAAGGAAGGAAAGAAGAAAGGAAGTAAAGGAAGGAGATCTGAAACATTTTGAGAGGTTCTCAACATGGATTTCCGGATGCACCCTTTGCTGAACTTCTTCGATCATCATGGGGGGGCCCTTTGTTGAGTCATCACTTCTTCGAACATCCTGGGAAGGGCTGTCGCCCTCCAACCCCTTGCTGCTTTCTAGAATGTTTAAAGAGATTAACGCGACCTTTGTTGAATCATCACTTCTTCGAACATCATGGGGGGTTTGCCGCCGCCCCAACCCCTCGCTGTTTTTTTTAGAATGTTTAGAGATGAATGCACCCTTTGCTGAATCATCAATTCCTCGATCGATCATCGTGCGGGGGGCTGCCCCTCCCCCCCCCCGGCTGGTTTTTACAATGCTTACAGAGATGGACGCGCGTTGAATCATCACTTCTTCGAACATCAGGGCCCCCCTCCCCAAACCCCCCGCTGATTTTTTGAATGTTTGCAGAGATTAACACCCTTTGTTGAATCATCACTTCTTTGAACATCATGGGAGGCTGCCACCCCCCTCCAACTCCACGCTGGTTTTGGAAGATTTGCAGAGATTAGCGCGCTCTTTGTTGAATCGTGACATTCTCGATGTTTTTTTTTGTTTCTTTCTTTCTTTCTTTCTTTCTTTCTTTCTTTCTTTCTTTCTTTCTTTCTTTCTTTCTTTCTCTCTCTGCATGTTTATTTCTTTGTATCTTTCTCTTCATCGCTTGCGCAAGTGCTGCGCCTGCCGCGACATCTGTAGCTGACCTTGCAAAGGTGCTGCCTGCCGCGAAATGTGTACCGTAACTTGCGACAGCGCTGCGCCTGCCGCGAAATCTGTACCGTACCTTGCGAAAGTGCTGCGCCTCCCGCGAAATCTGTACCTGACCTTTCGAAAGTGCTGCATGCCACGAACTCTGTACCTGACCTTGCAAAAGTTTCCCGTCCCTCCCGCGAAATCTGCACCGTATCTTGGGAAAATGCTGCGCCTGCCGCGAAATCTGTACCTGACCTTGCGAAATCGCTGCGCCTGCCACACGAAATGAACAAGTTTTGATCCCTGACAAGTCCTTTTTTGATCCGCTGAGTTGTCATTTTAGTAGGAATCTAAGAGAAGAAGTTTTTTTGACCCCTAAGAAGTTTTTTGATCTTCAGGAGTAAGTTTCTTGATGCCTAGAATCCTCACCCGTGAAGTTGCGTGTGGACTTTAAGGAAGGATTCATAGATTGATCAGGAGCGCAGTATCTCCCATTCCATTCCATTCTGATGCCATTCTCCAACACGCTTCTCTTGGATGCCAACGAGCGAACATCAAACCGCAAAAGTGGAGGTTTCTTTTTGGCTTCCCTCTCAACCAAAAGCTCAGAAGACACACATCCTTCGCATCTCCGAGCCCAGTTCTCGCGCTTTGCGCCTGGACGCACCAGCCTTCGGCGGGGGCATCACAGCCTGCGCGCGCTGGGCAGCTTGGAGGCAGTTTTGAGGCTGTAAACTCCAGGCGCCATGTGTTTGTGTGTGTGTCTGTGTGTCAGTCTGTGTTTCTGGTTTTGACAAAGTTGCGCCATTCAGAGGCAGCGTTTTGTTTGATTCGTGGCGTCTGCTTGGGTCCTTGCCTCTGCTTCTCAGGGGATGTGGGCAGCCGCACTGCAGCTCATGGGCTCCATGCAGCGCAGGGAGCTGCCTGCAGAGGCGAGGGTCTCTGCTTGGTTCACCAAGTCGACCTCAGGGAGCAACTTGCTTGGACCGGATGTGCGCATGGCTCCGAGGTCACCAACTACAACGCCGCTTGGAATGCAGAGCGCACAGCCACGAGCACAGACACTTTCAGACCTTGACGAATTGACGTGTCCAGTGTCCGGCACAGCGGACTCTCCCAGTCTCTGCTCACCGCGCTGCGTGGCCACTGGCAGCGAGCCTTGTGGCCGAAACAGCCAGACACCATCACGCTAGGCGCGACCAAAGAGGGAAGCGCGCGAAGGTTTCCAGTCTGTCGCTGTAGGAGTCGTAGTGGGATGTGTCAAGTGACGTGCCATTGAAACGGATCGCGTGTTTTGGTGCATCTCATCGCCGGTGTCCTTTTTTCGCTTCCCCCGGATGAATGGGCAACCCCTCCGGAAACGCCAAACCACCAGGCTCCAAACCACCAACTGGAGGTAAGCTGATTGATGTTACAATGTTTCCCATCAGGTTCGTGGGATTCGGGGTTTGTCCCCACTGTGATACCAATTGGAATCTTTTTCTGGGGTTGAACGTTTTTTGGGAGGCCCTTTTTGTATCGCAGATCCGTTGGTTCCATTTGGGTATGGGTCCAAATCAAGCCACCAGGGACCGCAGGTTTTTGTCCATGTTTCCATTTACCAAGGGTCCATCTTGGGTACCCTTCCTCCAACTAACATGGCACCTGTGGAGGTACCTGGAAGATGAATTTCCTTTTGAAGGGATCCCCTGTCAGTTGCCATGGCAAAGTGGGAAGGAGGGAACTAGCTTCTCCCTAGTTGGGGTGACTTGGATTTGTGGTTTGGAGGTTAGGGCTGAAGTTGGGATTGAAAACTCCAAATCTGGCGGACAAGCACCGAAGAAACGAAAAAACAAGCAGCCATTTCAACCGCCTTTCCCATGGTTTCCAGGGGCGCTGCTGGCCGCAGAGCATCGCCCCTGGGCTGCGGCGCTGCGGGCGCTGGCCGGCGCCCGGCTCTGGCGGGCCCAGGTGGATGCCGCGGCGAAGGAGGCGGCGCAGGGTGAGGGGCGTGCGTGTGTAGGGGGGGGGGGAGGGGTTTGAGCCACCCGTTCGCGCCCGGTGGAGGTCATGGACTTCCAAGCTTCCACATTTTGCAGATAATATGTGTATACGTGTATTGAGCACATATATATATATATATACTTTGGAGTTGTGCAAAGCTTCAAAAGCCAGGGCCCCCAACTCAACTAAATATCCAAAGAAAGGATCTCTAACTCTCGAAAGGTTGAATGCCCCCTGAATCATGTCTCTTCTTGTTTCAGGCTCTGACGTTGTCCGGACGTGCCTCCAGTAAACAACAAAAAGGTATCTCGCTCGGTCGCTCGCTCGCTCGGGCGGTTGGTTGCTTGCTTGGTTTGCTTTGGCTAAGTTGCTTGGTTGCTTGGTCGCTAGGGCCTAATATGCGTGTTTGTGTGTTTGTGTGAAAAGTGAGGCACATCCAAAGGAGGACCGCGCTCCTCTGGGCATGCCGTTGGGGTCCATTTGCACTTTCTGTTTTGGCTGAGCAACTACGACGGGTTCAGGCTGCCGCGCTTTGCTGCAGCCGCGAGGCCCAGTGGCGCTTTGCGCTGGCGCTCGGGAGCCACGTGGGGCGCCGCGACAGAAACTTGCGGGCAGGCGAGTGAGATTTCACCTTGCCCAAAGCGCTGGGAGTGCTGCGACACCAACCATCGAGGGTGAACCACCGCAAAGGCCTATTGAGGTGAGCTGCATCGAGTATTTTGGTGTTCAATGCTTCCAGGGCACTTGAGTGGGTATTCTTGATCCACAACATGCATGCAGATGGACGATGATGGATTTGGGTTTCTCGTGGAGTCGTCTCTCACATCCTTGCCCGCGGCCGTCAAGGTTTGCTTGAGCCTATTCAATTCCTGCATGGGTCTTGCGGGGCGCTGAACAAGCAACACACGCACTTGCGTCCGGAGTTTTACTCAGAACGGCCCCCTCCAAAAAGTGTTATTTGGGTATGGGTCAAAATTAAGCCACCAGGGCTCCATTTTGGATGCATCTTTTTGACCCACAACCATTTAGGTTTCCCTTCAACACCACCGGAACACATGTCCCACTGCAGCTTTCGCAGCTCGGCTCAGGTTGCCCTGGCGCCTGGCAGTTGTCACGTGTCGCTCCCTGGACCAAGCCATGGCCGTGACGCAGGCCCATGGTCCCCAGGGAGCAGCTGAGCAGAGGGTCGATTTCGAGGGGTCGAATCGTTATGGGCAGAACAAATGAACCCGGTGATTGACGGCTGACTCGGCCTTGATTTGGGTGCGTGTCGAAATTGGGGGACCAAACATGGTGGTTCCTTTTTAACCAACCCAAACAGGGTACTGTGGATCGGCCTGAGTGCAAGGCCGTCCAGGACACGAAGCGAGAGCTGTAGAAGCGCCGCATGTCGATGCGCGAAAAGCTGATCGACGCGCTTAGCTGAGGCTACCGGATGGTTGCAAGCTGACCTTCGAGGCGCTTGCGTGACTTCCTTCGCAAGACGCGAGGGCGGGGGGGTGCCAATTGATCGTTGCCCGAGCAAGAAGCTCAGGAATGGCAGGAAGACACATCAGTCGAACTACAGCAAGAGCGGAATTTGGCAGGTCCGAGCCAGCTTCCACGGCTTGCGCGATAAAAGAGAAGCGGCGGAGACGACTGAATAAGTGCCAAGGGGCGTGGCTGGGGCAAGCGCGGTGCTACAGGGCGAGGAGGAGCTTGAGTTGGGGGCGGAGCTGGAGGAGTCTGGGGGTGATGAGGCCTGTGACACGCTAGCAAGAGGAAGGCCCCCACCGATTTTGCAGCTTGGGGACACGGGAAGGGCGAGGCTTTGGCGAAAGCAGAAGTGCCTCAACAGCGTTGGCGAGTTTCCAGGGCAGCTCTGGGGAAGACCTAGTCAGACAACGTCAATCGCACGGTGTCCAGGTCTTGCCTATGTCTTTGCCTGATGCCCTTGACCGTGCTGCCGTGGTCCATGCAAGGGCACCAGCCAAGGCAAGAACCCAGGAAATGACCACATTAACCAGGACTCTGTCGACCATCGACGGCCGGGCCACCCGAAGGGCAAGAAAAAGGGCAAGACCGGCGAGCCCGAGGCACAGGACGCTGGTGGTCTTCGGTCTTCCCAGTTGCCCGGATGGCAAGTTGACCGCACTCTGGTTGGACATGAGTCAGCCACAGGGTCTCTTGGACAGCTATGCTGCTTTCTGCAGCTCTGAGCAACAACCCTTTTCGGGCGGGCTTGCCGGGCCGCACATGCATGGAAGCCCAAATCTGCGTCGGGCCTCACTGACCCAAGGCAAAGGGCAAAGGGGGCTCTGCCGCGGGTTGAGGTCGCCAAAGGTACCCTCAAGAAACACGAAGCCCGTTTGTTCTTTTGGGTGGTTTTTGTGGTTTTTTCGGGGGGATTGGGATGTTTACTGGGGGTACGGTCTTTTGACCCATGTTTCTGCGGCTTCGTCCTTCCCTCGCTTAGTGCCAGGCCTGGCTCTCGCGGGGCGCTTGGCGCCGAGCGCTGCGCGCCGCCTCGGAGCCAGAGGCGGACGCCCAGCTGCTGGCGCTGCGACTCAGGGCCTGTGAGGCCCGGCAACTAAGTCGCAGGGTCGGAGTCGGTAAGGGGCAGGTTCAAGAGATGGGTGCGAACGTCTTCCTCGACGTGTTTGTGTTTGGGTAGACTTTTTTTTTAAAGCCAAGTCTGCAGTCTGACGACTGGGAATGTGAGCGCTGCTCTGTCAACTTGCTTACGGGCATCACACAAATCTGGTGCAAAATCTGACCTGGCAATGTGGCTGTGAGTTTAAAACTGGGGGCTCTTAAAGACCTGGCAGACCATCCCAGCTGAAACATTTGGTCAACACTGGGGGCCAGTCCAGGGGGACCGTCCCAGGGAAGAAAACTGTCCACACAACTGCGGGGCGGTCCAGTATTTAAGCTCGGCATCTGGGGGACCGTCCCAGAAGGTTTTTTGTCGATTTCCTCCAACATCCGTTTGCGTGTGTGTGTGTGTCTTTTGGGGGGTGAGACTGGAAATGGGCAGTAGCCAGAATATGTATGTACTTAGTCCTGATTCCAAGGAGGTGTCATGTAAATGACATAGCTTGGTAGACAAATATGTACCAAGTAGAGATATCAAGGAAGCCGCAAGACTATTTTACGCCCCAAGTCTATTTAGATGCCTTGAGCTAAAAGGACAGCAAGTAGGTGCACACTGTATGCTGCCTTGTTGCGCATCAGGCCGCGTTAATCCATAGGTTTGCGTCAAGGCACGCATGGTTTGCTGCGCGTGGCTCACTGTCGCTGGCTCGGCGGTTGCAGTTTGCTGCATGCTTTGGCCATTTCTTTCGTGCAAAACAAAAACAACAACTAAAGATGGCTGTCCTTTTCGGGCTAGGCTGAGCGTAGTGGATGTCCAACTGGCATCCGTGCGGCGGATTTTGAGCCGAGACTTTCCGTTGCTTTCCGAACTGGTTTGCAGGTCGCGCAACGGACGCGGAATGCTCTGGATGGTTTACTTGCCCTGCAGCATGAAGGTCTCACTGCTGCCAGCATCCTTGCGGAAAAGGCACAGCTGGAAGCGCGCTTGCCATGTGTTGGAAGTGTTTATGCAAGGCATCCGATGATCGGCATATGCAATGCAGCCGAGTCCACACTTTCGGCTCAGTGAGCGCGAACGCTTCAATTACCAAGTCATTTGCCGGCATGGCGCCCCGCGACAAGGAGGTCTACTTTGCCAAGCTGGCAGAGCAGGCGGAGCGCTATGACGAGATGGCTGAGCACATGCCTCTTGGACAGCATTGGGAGTATTCTTCAGAGCACTTCCGGATTGGGCACTGGGTATGCATTTCAGGAAGAATGCTGGCAACGAGGGCAGTGAACTTTCCGTAGAGGAGCGCAACCTGCTGTCGGTGGCCTACAAGAACACCGTGGGCTCTCGCCGTGCTGCATGGCGCATCATCACCAGTGTGATGCAGAAGGAGACTACCAAGGGCAACAATGAAAACGCCGGTTATGCCAAGGAGTACTGTGAGAAGGTGGAGAAGGAGTTGCAGTCGATTTGTGACACTATCCTGGCCCTCTTGGATAACAAGCTCATCCCGAAAGCCAGTAGTGGTGAGTCCAAGGTCTTCTATCAGAAGATGAAGGCGGACTACTACCGGTACATCGCTGAGTTCCGTGATGGAGACGCGAAGAAGGCTGCAGCGGAGAAGGCAAGAGAGGCCTATGCTGAGGCAGAGAAGGTGGCTGAGAAGGACTTGGCAGTGACACACCCGATCCGCCTGGGTTTGGCCCTGAACTACTCGGTCTTCATGTACGAGGTGCTCGGCAACCCTGACGAGGCCTGCAAGATGGCGCGCAAGGCTTTCGAGGACGCCATTGCTGAGCTGGACAACGTGGCAGAGGACTCCTACAAGGACTCGACCCTGATCATGCAGCTGCTGCGAGACAATCTGACCCTCTGGACTTCGGACCAAGAGGGAGGCGCATAGTTTCAGAGGTAAAACACCTCAGCGCTGGCACCAGTGGACACTCAATACTCAATGCGAATGGAGGAACGGGGGGAAGCAACTACCTTGCGTACCAGGCGCAACAAAACATGGGTGCGCTGCAATTTGGCATTCCATGTGCATTTTATTTGCATGCACATGGGTCAGAATTGAACTTCACGAGTTTGTCCAGCAGGCCCTTGCTGGCCTGGTGGTCAACTTGTTTGGCTTGCAAAGATGTGGGATGCTTCCGTCAGCCAATCAGGGTAGCTGCATTGCGTCGTGCCTCTGCACCTTTCCGGAGGATTCTAAAAGGCCATGGCGCCGCGGGACAAGGATGTCTACTTCGCGAAGCTTGCTGAGCAGGCCGAGCGCTATGATGAGATGGCAGAGCACATGCTTCTTGGGCAAAGGAGGTTCGCATTGAACATCCATGTGACACGTGGGAGATCAGGAGCAGCATGGCCACTGCCATTTAACAAGAAGACAATGCTACGCAGCTGACCAGTATCACCTGCTTTAGGTTGTTGCAATATTTCCTGCATAGCAAGGACGTCAGTGGAATCGGCAAACCACACAGGCACAAACAGAAAGTATTGCCTCACAACTTTCCGAGCAGGTGGCACGGCGGTTTCGCTTTGTGCGGACCTCCCATTCCAGGTATGCATGCTGGCTGATTCAATTCCCATGTAAGGGTTGATCAAATGGTCCTTTACATGGGGTGACCATCAGGGAAACCCCCACCAAAAAAGATGACTTTGACCACTAAATGGGAAAAGTTACCCATCAACCCCCCTAATATGTATACGTGCCTCAGTGTAATCCAAGGAAGAACGTGGGCGACGAGGGCAGCGAGCTTTCCGTAGAGGAGCGCAACCTGCTGTCGGTGGCCTACAAGAACACTGTGGGCTCTCGCCGTGCCGCGTGGCGCATCATTACCAGCGTGATGCAGAAGGAGACTACCAAGGGCAACACGGAAAACGCCGGTTATGCCAAGGAGTACTGCGAGAAGGTGGAGAAGGAGTTGCAGTCGATCTGTGATACTATCCTGGCCCTATTGTCTAACAAGCTCATCCCGAAAGCCAGTAGCGGTGAGTCCAAGGTCTTCTATCAGAAGATGAAGGCGGACTACTACCGGTACATTGCAGAGTTCCGTGATGGGGACGCAAAGAAGGCTGCAGCGGAGAAGGCAAGAGAGGCCTACGCTGAGGCAGAGAAGGTGGCTGAGAAGGACTTGGCAGTGACACACCCGATCCGCCTGGGTTTGGCCCTGAACTACTCGGTCTTCATGTACGAGGTGCTCGGCAACCCTGACGAGGCCTGCAAGATGGCGCGCAAGGCTTTCGAGGACGCCATTGCTGAGCTGGACAACGTGGCAGAGGACTCCTACAAGGACTCGACCCTGATCATGCAGCTGCTGCGAGACAATCTGACCCTCTGGACTTCGGACCAAGAGGGAGGCGCATAGTTTCGCATGCTTCAACAATTCACCTGGCCTGCCTTTAAGCAACCAATTGTGTAACTTCGGGCCAGCGTTTGCCTGGGACGGGGGGAAACATCCACTTCATTCGCATTGGACAGTGTGGAAAAAACTGCGTAGGCTGCATACCTAGCCATCGCATACATTGTAAGGCCTCTTGGTGAAAGAGCCAGGCCTCGACTGCTGCGGGAATCTTGCAGCAGTCATGCTGTTCATGCTTCACAGATTCGTCAAGTCTTTGTCCTCAGTTGCCATGTCGACGCCTTTGGCTTCAGAAGTCAAGAGCTCCATTAGCAGTGTGACTGCCGGTGCGATCCTTTGCCAAAGGTTCTAAAGCCATGGCGCCTCGCGACAAGGATGTCTACTTCGCCAAGCTTGCCGAGCAAGCGGAGCGCTATGACGAGATGGCGGAGTACATGCTGCTTGCCTGCAAGGTTCATACAGGAAGCTCCTCCTTCGCAACTGTTGACTAGCTGGATTGTGCCGCCTGAGCCACACGTCGTTCGTTACTGCACTCAGTGCTGCAATCATGAACCCAGAATCCCAAACCCGACGGACGGCTTGGGTTGGTGTGGATCCTTGTATGCTTTCCTTCTCCATGCTTGTTCTGGCCTCGGATAGATAGACTATTTAGCATTATAGCCTTGTGTCAAGGAAGAACGTGGGCGACGAGGGCAGCGAGCTTTCCGTAGAGGAGCGCAACCTGCTGTCGGTGGCCTACAAGAACACTGTGGGCTCTCGCCGTGCCGCGTGGCGCATCATCACTAGCGTGATGCAGAAGGAGACTACCAAGGGCAACAACGAAAACGCCGGTTATGCCAAGGAGTACTGCGAGAAGGTGGAGAAGGAGTTGCAGTCGATCTGTGATACTATCCTGGCTCTCTTGGATAACAAGCTCATCCCGAAAGCCAGCAGCGGTGAGTCCAAGGTCTTCTACCAGAAGATGAAGGCGGACTACTACCGGTACATTGCAGAGTTCCGTGATGGGGACGCAAAGAAGGCTGCAGCGGAGAAGGCAAGAGAGGCCTATGCCGATGCGGAGAAGGTGGCTGAGAAGGACTTGGCTGTGACACACCCGATCCGCCTGGGTTTGGCCCTGAACTACTCGGTCTTCATGTACGAGGTGCTCGGCAACCCTGACGAGGCCTGCAAGATGGCGCGCAAGGCTTTCGAGGACGCCATTGCTGAGCTGGACAACGTGGCAGAGGACTCCTACAAGGACTCGACCCTGATCATGCAGCTGCTGCGAGACAATCTGACCCTCTGGACTTCGGACCAGGAGGGAGGCGCATAGGATCGCCTGATTCGCCAAGAAGTTGGCTCTGTCTGAGACATTCTCTGGGAGTGCAAGCTGATGCACCGTCAGCTTCATCCCCAGTTGATTTTTTTCAGACGGGTTGGCGTGTTGCAGCTTTTTGCTGCCATTTGGCCAAATTCACCATTGGGCTCGGGGGGAACCCTGCAACAATGCATTGGACAGAAGGATGATGTGCAAAAAGGCAGCATCAGCTCTCTGCCATCTACCTGCAGCAGGTCACAATATTTTGATATTTGGACATGTGCACACTTGTTGCTGAGGTACAGCCTTAGTGGCCTGGGCAGCGTCTTGTTCATAGAAGGTAGTTGCTGCGTTCCGGGAGCCTTCGGTTTGCTTCAAATGTTGTTACCTTTCGCATGTTACAGCGGACGACAGCTCGTTAAGAAGCAAAGGCAACGCGTTATTTGCGTGGCCCTGAGGCAAGAAGGCGTTTTCCCTCGCAAGTTTTTGCGGTCTTCTCGCATTTCGGTTTGGTTGGACACTAGCTTGACCCGCGGATACCCGGATACCCGGCCAGCCGAGTCAAGGTAGCTGCATCTGTGCGACTTTCTGGGGGGTCTAAAGCCATGGCGCCTCGTGACAAGGACGTGTACTTTGCAAAGCTTGCCGAGCAGGCGGAGCGCTATGATGAGATGGCCGACTACATGAGCCCTGGCACCGAAAGGAAAGGGGAGAGGGGGCCATGGTCTTTGCTTTCGGCGTACACTTGCCCCAGTTAATTGCATTGCGACTGTGGACAATTGCAGACACCTGCATGGCCGTTTTGAAGAGCATGGAGATGCAATGAAAAAGATTTAACACAACACAACACACACACACACACACTCTGATCAAACGGCAGTTTGACAAGGAAGAACGTGGGCGACGAGGGCAGCGAGCTTTCCGTAGAGGAGCGCAACCTGCTGTCGGTGGCCTACAAGAACACCGTGGGCTCTCGCCGTGCCGCGTGGCGCATCATCACTAGCGTGATGCAGAAGGAGACTACCAAGGGCAACAACGAAAACGCCGGTTATGCCAAGGAGTACTGCGAGAAGGTGGAGAAGGAGTTGCAGTCGATTTGTGACACTATCCTGGCCCTCTTGGATAACAAGCTCATCCCGAAAGCCAGCAGCGGTGAGTCCAAGGTCTTCTACCAGAAGATGAAGGCGGACTACTACCGGTACATTGCAGAGTTCCGTGATGGGGACGCAAAGAAGGCTGCAGCGGAGAAGGCAAGAGAGGCCTATGCCGATGCGGAGAAGGTGGCTGAGAAGGACTTGGCTGTGACACACCCGATCCGCCTGGGTTTGGCCCTGAACTACTCGGTCTTCATGTACGAGGTGCTCGGCAACCCTGACGAGGCCTGCAAGATGGCGCGCAAGGCTTTCGAGGACGCCATTGCTGAGCTGGACAACGTGGCAGAGGACTCCTACAAGGACTCGACCCTGATCATGCAGCTGCTGCGAGACAATCTGACCCTCTGGACTTCGGACCAGGAGGGAGGTAATTAAAGCTCTTTTTGCCGGAAAGCTCGGCCTGGACAGTTTGCGATTGCCTGGGAAAGGGGGAACTCAACTTCACTCTTGACTACGATCCATCCAAACAGGGAAAAGCGTTGCTGTGCAGTGTTTGCGGAGTGGCAAACTTGAGTCGCGGCCTTTGGAATGGCGGCACGAGAGCGCCAGTTTGCTTTTTTGAACCCTGAGGAAGCCATCGTTTGCATGTCTTGATCCGTCCAATTGCTTCGATTCGACTTGTCCTTGATTTCTGGCTCACTTTGGGCACGCCCAGCTCCGGCTCTCGGAGCCTTTTTTTCCGCCGCCCCCTCTTAGGCGATCAGGCGGGTGTGGGGCAGGTTGACGGTTGACTGGTCGCCAACATCCTGTCGGTGTGCCTGCTGCCAAGTGAGTTTGCAGGACACTCTGCCCAGCATGTGCGGCTCTGGCTCTGATACCGTGCCTTGCTTGCATGCGAAGCTTGGACAGCTCCCGTGTTTTGAGAGAGGCCTTGGACACGCAAAACCACGCACGGAAGCTGGTGTTGCCTTCTGCTACAGCACTCCCCACAGCTAAGTGCCCCAAATTGGAGCTGCGCGCCTCCGATTCAATCGAGGCACTCTTCGTGTATGGCACACTGAAGAGAGGCTTTGCCAACTACACCAGGCTGGCTGAGTGATGTTGTCAAATCCGCCCCCGTCAATATCCCAGGCCAACGATGAGGCTTGGGCCAACGCATCAATTGCCAACAAAAACATTTTTACTGACAAAACTCGTTGTTTTTCATTGAAAGACATCGCCCAATTTCGAAGCAAAAAACAACATTCAATAGCGAACATCCCCCGCGACTTTGGGTGAGCTTTGCTTTTGCAGGTACCTGGGCCTTGCAGAGTCCAACAGCAAGGCCTGCGCGTGATGGCGCTTTCGGTTCTGCAGCTATCGATTTGCATCCCATACTTTTCGCACCGCCTAAGAAACCCTGGAAAGATGATTTCACGGGGAATACCAAGAAACAATGGTTTCCCATGGTTTCAAAGTGGGGCATTTGCATCCATTCCCATAGGACTCTCTTCACACCTGGCTTTTCGTTTCAGATTTTTGAGGCAGTCTTCGTGGGTGATGGCATTACGCTGGACTGCTTCCCCATGGTTGCCGGGTTCTGAGGACAGAAGCTGAGAGAGGCCGTCACCCCGCTGCATTCTTCAGACGTCTGTTCCACGTGTCCACTTCCGTCGGAGCCAATTCGTGCGGACAAAAGCATATCTGACCTTCACTGCTAAAGACCCATCAGAAGTCGTGGTTGCCTTTTGGCGCTAAGGGATCAAGAACTGGAGAACTGATCAGCTCACATGCATACCATTTGTCCAGGTCTCAAAGGCCCATCCGGCTCGCTCAAGGTGCGCCCACCCAACCCATCGACTGGCAGCTCCGGGGCACCCCAGCTGCTGGACGAGGAAGGATCTTTGATGTGCCTCACGCCCCCTGCCTCTGCTGAGTTGGCCCGTGTTCTCAGTCGAGCGGAGTATCCAGAAGTCTATGGTCTACTTGGGAGGGCACTTAAAAAATCTCACTACCAATGGTACTCGCTCATTTTCCCACGTCCATTGCGGTATCCGTGCATTTCGATCGCTCATATCCAGAGCTATTTTTACTCGCACTTGTCCTCAAGCCTATGGCTGAGTTTTCTCGTTTTCGATGCGCTTCACCCCGGCAGGCTGGGCGCGGCTTCAATGTGAAGGGCGAGGCGTGGCGCAGAGTGTTGAGGAGAACGATGACATGTCTGCTTTAAGTGTCCTTTTTCGAGTCACTTGGGGTTGAGATGGCTTGTGAATGGCTCAGTGGGAGTCCGAGTGCCTGAGGTGTACCTGATCGACGAGAGCACCCTGAAGGCCATGGACGTCCTGGAGGGCGTCCACCGAGGGCGCTACTGTAGGCGCGAGAGCTTTGTCTCGCGCCTTGTAGACAACAACTCTCCGTGCCGGACTCGTATTTGGGGTCAAGGTTGGGATCTGGAAGCAAGGTGAAAAGGGCAACCGTGGAAAGCGCAGCCATTTCATAGATCCGTCATGAGAAACTTTGGTTTTCGCCAGGCGGCACATCAACGTGCAATTCCAAACAGGCGCCAGCCTGAGGCTGCGGCCCAAGATGACGGGTGCGTGGGGTGGGTGAAGAAGGCGGCCTGTGGTCCATGAAGTTAGCAATATGCTCCGTCTATCAAGTTTCAGGCAAGAGGCGGATTTTCTGCTGCCATGGCCCAGGCACATGGAGTGTGCCACATATTTCTTCGTAGCAGAGGACTGGTTTCCGGTTTCTGCGGTCGACGGGGCTGGCGGGCGTGTGTCGCACTTTTTGTTGGACATTGGGTCTTGGATCACGATGCCACAAAGGCACCTTAAGTTGGATCCGTGAGCCAACAGCACATCTCTGCTCCTGGTCACAGGCAAACGCGTCACAGAGAACCATGGAAGGTTCGGAGCGCGGAGGACCCTTCCTTGCAGACGCTTCCCCAGATCGAGCCGCTCGCCAAGGGGGCGGGGAGGAAGCGTAGGGGTGTGTTTCGACCTGCTTTGCAGTCATGACATGGCAAAGGACGCAATGATAAGGAGTCAAGCTTCTGCCAGTGCAGAGCACGCAATCAGCACACGTGTTTCCTTGCGCACAGGCGCAGGAAGAAAGCTTGCAGTCAAAATTCATGTAAGGATGCGGAGACGTGTTTCGCACAAGAGGCATTCGGCGTGCGTCTGCAAGGTCCCTGTGGCTCGAACCGCCGTTTTGGCTCCAGGGCATGGAGGCCCACTGAGTTCCCCGCGCCCTTTCTCCCTGCAGCGAAACCACGCGGGGACTTCGCAGCGCGCAATGGCAATGCGCGTGTGCGTGAGGAACACCTTCATCACTTTTGACGAAGGCGGGCACGTCCTTTTTTTTGTAGGGCAAAGGGATCTGGAAGGGACGAAGCCAGGGAAGAAGGGATCTGGGGACTTGGCGGTTGGCCCAGACTTATTGTGTTTGTATCAAAGCCTGATTGATGCATGTTGAATTTGCCCCTGAATTCATGAGGGAGCAATGCCCTAGAGTTGCTGAAGTCACGCTGCAGACTCGGAATCGCTGCCGGCATCAACAGCAAGCACAGTGAGAACACCAGCATCAGCACGTCAGCAGCAACAGTACACGCAGCGCTGACAGCAAGATGGGAGCACTGCTCTTCCAAGCCAAGTTGCGGCTGCATGCTTTCGTGAGGGGTCTGCAGGAACACACAATGCCTATGCTTCACATACATACTTTCTGTCGCTGTATATCACTTTATCCCACTTTTCTTGGCTTTGCTTGTCAGCCTATGGCCACTTGTCACTTTTGCTCACTTGTCAGCCTATGGCTTTACTCGCTACTTCCACAACGAAATGCCTCGCCACGGGTGAAACAACCAATTTTGAGCGCCAGGTGACGAGCCGCGGATCTCTCCCAAGGCCTCGCCTCGTTCGAGGTCGGTGGAGTGCGCCTCCCCGCGCCGGGAGGACTCCTGGCGGGGTCGGGATGAAGACATCTTGGGGTGCTTTGTCTAATGTTGACTTTATGGCGAAATCAACCAAGCAGTTTATGAACATAGTGCTTTTCCCCTGGGTTTTAGTGAATCATCACGTTTGGAGGGGCCAACAACCACCCCTCTATTTATAAACTGGTTGGTTGGAAATCATCTGGGGTCAACATGATGTGTCAAGAAGGCAATGGATTTTGCTCCTTGAGGAGTGTGAGCAGATCGCCAAGCTCAACAAGCCGCTTGGGCTCTGATCACTCCATGCCGAAGGCAAAAATCTTGCGCGTCGTCCTAGGATCCTAGACGACGACGAGGAAGCGCTGCGCGAGATCAGGCGGGCAGTCGCCTTTTTGAGCTCGCCTTTTTGAGCTTGCTTTAAATACGCGCCGAAAGAATTTGATGTTCCCCCCACGAATTGAAACCCCTAGAACCACGCTGCTGTGCCTTGAGCATGATCTTTTGAGTTGGCTTTCTTGGCTTCCTTCCAATCCACCACGATTGGGTTCCTTTTGTTTTCTCGGTTGGCATGAGTGCCCAACTACAACACAAACAGCTCCCAGGTCCCAACGACCCAAAAGGCACCCTCCACCCTCGCTTCGCTTTGCAGGTCCCCGGTCCTCGTGGCGACGCCGCTGCCGCAGTTCGACGGCCCCGGCCGCATTCGCGCGGATAGCTTTGGGAGCTCGGGCGCCTCCTCGCCGCCAGAACAAGAGCAGAGCTTGGGCTGAAGGAACATTGCCGGTGGATCTCCCGATTTGCTTCTCTCGACTTCCGGCGTTTTTTTTCTTTTTTTTTTTTTTTGTCTTTTTCCGAAGGGGCTTGTCTTGGAGGCAAGGCGTTGCCGCAACAATTTTCCGCAGTACCTCTGCAAGCCGTGAGGCAAGTTGCGTTCCGAGGATCAGCGGCGGGCCAAGTCCGCAGGAGCTGAAGCAGCTGAAGCAGAGGCGAAGCTGCGTGGGTCAAAGTTGAAGCACCAGGAATTGGACCGCAGGTTTTAGTCTTTGGTTCCATTGACCAGGGCGACCCAATTTTTGGGTACCCATGTTTGACCCACAGTTGGGGGTTTCCTCGGGACCTTGGTGCTGGTTCTACCGCTGGCATGTTTTCTTTTCAAGCACGCTGTCAATGCTTGGCTGTGATTCTCTGTGCGTCAGCGAGCGAGAGAGAGAGAGAGAAAGAGAAAGATCGAGAGAAGAGGGCCGTGCCACGTGCGGTCCCTTGCACTTTTTCTTACTCTCTCTCTCTCTCTCTCTTTCTGCTTCACCAGGTTGAAGGAAGTGTGCCAACACGGATACAATGGCGGCACCATGCACCGTGCCGCCTCCAACAACTCTGTGTGGAGCCTGGGAAGCGAAGCCACAGAGGACTGACACGTGGCATTGCCAGTTGCAGCCTGTGATTCTCCAATTTTGCCCCATCTCCCTGTCGCTGCCGTTGCCCATTTTTCCGATGCGTCTTCAAGTTGTTTTTGGCAATGAAACGGAGCCCTCGCCATTGTTTTGGTGGCCGATTTCCGCATTTTGAGACCCCCACGCGAGTGTGTGTTTCTTGTGCATACCCTTTTCGGGTTGTCTCTTACAGCGAAGCTAACGTCAAATCATTTTTGGGGTACCTCAAACACAACACACAAGCACACAAAAACACACACACACACACACACACACACACACACACACACACACACACACACACACACACACACACACACACACACACACACACACACACACAACACAAACACACACACACACACACACACACACACACACACACACACACACACACACACACACACACACACACACACACCAACACACACACACCAACACACACACACCACACACACACACACACACACACACACACACACACACACACACACACACACACACACACACACACACACACACACACACACACACACACACACACACACACACACACACACACACACACACACACATGCACACCCTTCCTCCCATGATCCACGCCTATGTACATGTATATATATATATATAATGATATCTTGTGTAGGAGCGCCACTCACTTTGCGTACTACTCTTGACCTAACAAGCTGCAATTTCTGAGCTGGAGCTGCCAAAGTGTACTTCGCGTGCTACACTTGTACTACAAAGTTGCGATTTTCGAGCTGGAGCTGCGGAGGTGTGCTTCATTCATACTACACGTGTACTACAAGTTGCAATGTGGGAGCTGGACCTGCGGAAGCGTACTTCGCGTGCTACGGCAGGAAGCCCTTCTGCTTCATCTGAAGCCGCCCGATCTAGCAAGCAGAGAGAAGACGTGTCTGTTTTTTGTTACACGACGTATGCAACGCAGTCTGCTTTGCCTTGGGGCTACTTCATCTCTAATTTCAATCAGGTAAAACATGTAGAAAATGCTGAGAAGCGCCGTTGTTTTCACACTCTTGGATGGGGGGGGGCCATATAATATACATATATATATACATATATATGCGTGTGTACTCGTTGCCAGGACGGCAACGGTCGGGGCTTGCGCCACGTGCACTCCCACGGCTCCATGAGCAGCGTGACCTCCTTTGAGGCCATTGACAAACGGCCATGAGCTGCCATGTCATCCTTGTTGACACGGTTTGTCTATTTTTATCAATATTATTAAGGTTCTTGAAATGTTGGAAGTCAACACATGGTGAACAGAATCTACGTGTGGGTAGTGCACGAGGCAAACCGCTCTCGTGCATGCTCCTATGGCTCCATTTGCAGTGCCATGGAGGAGGCAGGGTTGTTGGGAGGAAACCAAGGGTCGGGTTACTAACACAGAGGGACAGAGGGCACATTGTGAAGAGTGATGCAGAACAGTTGAGAGAACTCAGCCCAAATGACTGTGCACCATCTCTTGCCCAGACTGACGAGCCAGTGGAATTTGACCTCGTGGAATACTCGGAGGACCAAGTTGAAGCGCTCCCTATTCAGAGCACTTGTTAGGGTGCATCCTTTGCGTTGATGGTTTGTCCGTTGCCTTGGTTCGTGGTTGACAGGACCACCCGAAGCCTGAGCCCCGCGAGCGCGACGGACGCATCAGCGAGGGCCGCGAGGGTCGGGAGCGGCGGGGCCGCGAGGGCCGGCGCAGGAAGAAGCAAGATCCAGGAGCGGCGACCGAACTTGCGGAGTTTGGGAGCGTGCGACTCGCAGGACCCAATGACACGGGGCCCAAGCCTGTGGGCTTGGTGGACGAGTGCCCCAGCCCCACGGCAAGCCCGACCAGCTGGAGCCCTCGACAAGGCGGGAGACTGTGGCTCTTGGGTGCAGGTGCGGTCAAGCAGCGATGGAGGTTTTGTTGTTGTACATGTTACCCTTTTGAATCTCGCAAGGGGAACTCTCCCTGAATCGCAGGTTCTCATGATGTTTGGACGTCCCAAAACTGCTGGGGTGCCGCCTGCAAAGCGGTCCCTTGCGACCCTTGCAGCCCGCAGGCAGCATCACTTCCCGCGCCTCGAGCCCCTCCGGAGACAAGTCCAAGGTGTGGCAGAAGGAGCCAAAGCCGGGAGCATGAGCCTTTCACCGACTTGTTGGAGGCAAAGTCCGGTGGAGAGCCAGAGATGAGCTGAACGATTTGTTTGCCAGAAAAGGCCATCCTAGTGGATCCGATGGTTTGACATGGGCTCGGCCGGGCCCCGTCAAACGTGCCCAGCGGTTGTGCCTTTCCGCGCCTGCAGGAATACCGCCACTCCCTCGTGCCCAAGACGGCGCGCAAGCTGATTCGCAGCAGCGATTACATTGGAGATTTGTAGTTATCGTTAGTCGCGGCAGTTTGTGTTGAATATGAGCTGCGAGCACAGCGGGGTTTCAGAAGACAGCCAGCGCTTGTGGAGAGGAGGTTGAAAGCCAGTTGTGGGTTGGCAGGCCAAGAGCTATGGTCACGCGGGCTGCAATGAAATGTTTATTTGAACTATTTTCAATGCAGGTGAACTTGCAGGATGAGTACTTGAATCAGGCCGCTCAGGACATCACAACCCTCATGCACCTTGGCTTTGCCAGAGATGGCTTCGCAATTTTGCAAGCAGTGCTCCAACTGCGGGGTCCGACACGCCAAGGAACGGGGACTGTTTGGATTTCGAAAGGGGCCAAAGGTTTCTGGGCGTGGGGCCATTTTGATGCACATGGCACACCCAGCAAAGCGTGGGCGCAAGGATCAGGAACATCCCGAATCGGTACTCTCAGCGTGACCTCATCTCAGAGTTGGAGGATCTCGGATTTGCAGGCGGGAGGTGTGGGGAGAGAGAGGCGCGCGCGCGCGCGCGCTCGTGTGTGTGTGTGTGTGTGTCCTGTGTCTGTGTGTCTGTGTCAATGTCGGTGTCTGTGTTTGTGTGTGTATGCGTGCGTGCAAGCGATCACAACCGGTGAACAAGTACATGTGATGGGAATGACTCCTAGCAGCCGCGTCTCAAGGAGCGTCGACGTGATGCTTTTCTTCGCGTAACATGTTGCACACCAGACCGCAATTCTTCCGCTGCTGCCAATGCTGGGGAGAAAGGGTTGTCCCTGAACCTTCGATAGGGCACACTTGAGCCAGGCAAGTTCAACTTCCTGTACATTCCTTTGGATAAGGGCACCATGGCCAACGTGGGCTATGCTTTCGTGAACTTCATCAGCAAGAACTGGGCACAGAAGTGTATGGAGGCGAGCATTGAGGGGCGCGCTCGCCTGACGCTTGTGACTTCACATGCAGTCTTCCAATTCTTCACACAGACCAATGATGAGCTCCGCATGTCTTTTTTTGGGAAACTGTCAAGTTGAATTGCTAATTCGTCTTGAGAAACTGTCAAGCAACGCGAGCTGTCGCGCCATGGAGACCCTGGGTGCAGGCCTTCCGGGAGTATCGCTTCAAGCGGCACAGGAAGACCTCAGGCGGGGCATCGCATTGACGTCACTGGTGTAGTTGATAAACACCGCAGACATGCGTTGTTTGCATGCTGATGAGCAAGCGGGCGCAAGGTATATTCTATGTCCACATTCTTTTACATAGCATGAATGGCTCAGAGGTTATCAGACATGCGGCTTTGCCCTGCCCTGCGTTGCCGGCAAGATACATGGACCAAAGTGCGCCTGTTTAGGTTCAATCAAACGAATGGATGCAATGAGATCGATTGCGCGCCAAGACAAACGGCTGGCGACTTTGGGCAAGATCAGGCTCGTGGTGGCTTCATCGTTCAAGCATCTTTTTGGAGTGCGCAGAACATATTTGGGGAGCAAATCAGCTGTTGTGCCAGCGATTTTTATCCGGCCGTTGTAAGTTGGGTCTGCCGACCGACTTGAACGCGAGGCAAGATCGCGTCCATCTCCGCGGCACATCTCCAGGGCCTCGAGGCAAACCTGGCGCACTACGAGCGGGCCGTTGCTTGGGCGCCCGGAAACGTGGGTTGCGTGGGCGCTGCACATTTGAACGGGCCTGGAAAATCAATCAGTGATGAAAAGGGACAGTGGCACAGCCGGTTGGGCTTCATGATGGTCTTGGTCTTGGTTGCTTCAACGGATCTTTCAGTGCGGCTCGCCTGCTAATCAACTGAGGCTCATCGATCCTGCTAAACATTACCTGAAGACAATTTACCTTGGCATTTCCCGAAACAGCTTCAGCGGAAGGCAGGTACACACACACAGATAGGCAATTGGCTAAATCATTGGTAGTCTACTGTCGGGTTTGGGAGGACATGGGGCCCACAAAAAAGGGGGGAGATGCCTCTTGTCCCCATGTCCTTTTGGAGGAAACAAGCAAGTTTTTCCGGGCCTTGCATGCTCCGCCTGAGGTGAACACGGCCAAGCTGAAGCAGAGGCGACCTGTTGTGATTGCGAACATCTCCTCCAGCCTGGAATGAGAAGGCCGGGCTATCAACTCCACAAAAATACTGCGCGGGAAGCGGTCCCACGGATGTGCAAACTTTAGCTACTATTACTACGACGACAGCGCTACAAGAACAACTACTGCTACTGCTACTGCTACTGCTACTGCTACTGCTACTGCTACTGCTACTGCTACTGCTACTGCCTCTGCTACTGCTACTGCTACTGCTACTGCTACTGCTACTGCATTACGAGCCCCACGCCGTTTGATTGATTCATTGCCCCCCCACCCCCCCCCCAAAAAAAAAAAACAACCAATGCTCGTACGTTAGATTGATTCCTTGCCCTCCCCCCCCCCTCAAAAAAAAAAAGCTCGTGCGTTAGATTGATTGATTCATTCCCCCCCCCCCCCGCTCCCCCCTCCCCCCCTGCCCCCCCAGAGGGTTCGCCGGGGACAAGATAAAGTCGCACGGCGCCACAGCGAGAGCGCTTCGACACGCACGATCTCCGCAGAGGGTTCGCCGAGGTCAAGACAAATTCGCACGGCGCCACAGCGAGAGCGCTTCGACACGCACGATCTCCGCAGAGGGTTCGCCGAGGTCAAGACAAATTCGCACGGCGCCACAGCGAGAGCGCTTCGACACGCACATCTCCGCAGAGGGTTCGCCGGGGTCAAGACAAATTCGCACGGCGCCACAGCGAGAGCGCTTCGACACGCACGATCTCCGCAGAGGTTCGCGCGGGTTGGGCCACGACCACACCGCGCCACAGGTGAGCGCTGATCACCCACAATTCCGCAAGAGTGGTTCGTTGGGCTAACAAATCTGTACTGCGCCATGCTTAGAGCGCTGACATTTAATGATCTCAGAGAGAGTCGCAGAGGCAGCTCAAGATAAATCCGCACGGCGCCACGCAGTTCGGCCGACACGCACGCCCGCAGAGGGTTCACGAGGTCAGCACGTCTGCACGGCGCCACAAGTGATGGCGCTTGATACGCATAACCCGTAAGATGGTTCGCTTGGTCACATGCCGCACGGCGCTTTCTGCTGCGCGAGAGCGTTGATACGCTAATGATCTCCAGATCAACACCACCACGAATCAATCAACAAACAAAAAGCAATCAACAATCAATCAATCACCTGTCCAGGTCAATCAACAATGAATGAATCCAGTAACCACCAATCCTGCACGCAGACTGATCGATTGATCCACGCCCCCCCCCCTCCCAAACCTAGGCGTCTGAAGTTTATGATTGGCGGGGAGCGGTGACAAGGTTTTATGTTTTTTTTTGCAAACGCAAAGGTGCAGAGTTGCCTCCTTGTTCGGCTTGAAGGGGCAATTTGCAATATGTGCATGCACTCTAGACACGTCGAAGGGTGAACAAGTAACCCGTTGCATTTTGAAGTTTGCAGTTTGTTTCCCTTGGAACCGCAAAGCTGAAAGAAGCAAGCGACTTGCGTTTGCACGAATTGCGCGTGAGTTTCTTGTTGGAAAGCGTCCCGCACCGGGCGGGCGAAGTGCTCGCAGAAACCACCCACAACCAGCTGTAACTATTCACAGCCCAGAACAAGAAACCATTAACCACCGTAACATATACCTCTGAGTGCCCCCGATAAGTACTTTGACTTGCCTAAGCCATCTGCAACCACACAGGCGCCAAAAGGTCAATCCGACTGCGCTCAGGGTCTCAGCATGCTGCTGGCTGACGCGACAGCGAAGACACTCAGTCGAACTTCTTCGGCTCAAACAGCACACGCGAAGCCCCACGTGCTGCCCGAGGACACACCGGCTTTACACGTTGCAAACGAGAGCGCCAGCGCTATCGTCCGCGTCGCGAGCGGAAGCGCCCAGGTGGTCGTCGTGTGCTACATACGATGCCTTTCGCAAGCCCTGAAAATGGTCGTAGCCACTATAAACTGTACACATCATGCTCGTATACGAACGACAAGCTTTTGGTTCGCTGCGCGAATTCTTCGCAATGAGGCAAGAGCGCGCGTCATCGCAGTTGAACAAACGCATGCGCTTGGTAGATAGCACGTCCAAGACAAGCGCGCCTCGCCGGACAGGCCTTGCCTCCGTGCGTGCTGTGGACGACTCGCGCAGGTGCCTGGCAGGGTACGGGGTAAATGCAGAGCTGAGCGAACCTTGGATCATGGGCGCGGCGGCCATGTTGCAACAACAGCCGCGCATATTTTTTCCTGTTGCTCGCCGCCAGTTGTTAGTCTTTTAAGTTAAGTTGCAGGCGCTGCCCAAAGCAGGTGCCACAGTGGTTGAGGTTGAGGCCCCGCAGGTCCGCAGTCCGTGTTGCGCGATTCTCGGCCTGCGGGTTAGGTACTTAGCTATAGTCAACAGCAACTGCGCCAGGGACTGTGGCGTCCACTCGGTGCACAGTGCCGGTGGCAGCGTTCACAACCACGCGCTCGCAGCCCAGAAAACCACGATCTGCAGCCACTGGCTGCAGTGGCATCGCTGCGACTTCTGCCGGCTGCACTGGCGCCGCTGCAGCCTCAGCACCAGGGGCGTCAGAGCACCCCGCTGCTTCTGTTTGCTGGCGCCTTCGCTTTGCTGGAGTAACAGGCTGCCTGCAGGTCTCATCCCCGCATGTAGGCGCAGCGTGTGCCGTGGACGGGGCGCTCTGCCGCCCGCGGTAGGTGTCCCATGCCTGCTGGCACTCGTGCCGGGACTTGTGTTCGTGACTGAAGACAAGCAAGAGCAGCTCATTGTGAACCGGGTGGGCGCTGGACAAGCTGTCCTGCCACTTGGACACAATGTGAAACACTTGCTCTGCGGCCTCGGTGTCAACTCCACGAAGCACAGTATGGGCCTAGCAGCGCACGAGAAAGAACAGCAGCAGGTCAAAGAACAGGTTATTTAGAAAAAACACCGCTTAGTTAAACAACAAGGCCTTGCCATATCCAATCGAGCAGCATAAGGGTTGACATCCGGCAGGAACTACGTAGAGGTAGGGTTTCGACAACCTTTGTGGTCTTGAAAATGGAGCTTATCGATGACCCACCTGAGGCCGGCCATCCTCCGCCATTCAGTCTCCTCCGGCTTCCCAGCACGCTGGCGACATTGCGTGCGCATGTGGCGGACCACTCCGCAAGCAAAGTCGTACACTACCCACGACACGTGGACCATGTACACAAGCACGTGCTGCACAAAGAGCAAGACCTGCGTGATCGACGACGCACAGACGCACAGACGCACAGACGCACAGACGCACAGACGCACAGACGCACAGACGCACAGACGCACAGACGCACAGACGCACAGACGCACAGACGCACAGACGCACAGACGCACAGACGCACAGACGCACACACGCACACACGCACAGACGCACAGACGCACAGACGCACAGACGCACAGACGCACAGACGCACAGACGCACAGACGCACAGACGCACAGTCGCACAGACGCACAGACGCACAGACGCACAGACGCACAGACGCACAGACGCACAGACGCACAGACGCACAGACGCACAGACGCACAGACGCACAGACGCACAGACGCACAGACGCACAGACGCACAGACGCACAGACGCACAGACGCACAGACGCACAGACGCACAGACGCACAGACGCACAGACGCACAGACGCACAGACGCACAGACGCACAGACGCACAGACGCACAGACGCACAGACGCACAGACGCACAGACGCACAGACGCACAGACGCACAGACGCACAGACGCACAGACGCACAGACGCACAGACGCACAGACGCACAGACGCACAGACGCACAGACGCACAGACGCACAGACGCACAGACGCACAGACGCACAGACGCACAGACGCACAGACGCACAGACGCACAGACGCACGGACGCACAGACGCACAGACGCACAGACGCACAGACGCACAGACGCACAGACGCACAGACGCACAGACGCACAGACGCACAGACGCACAGACGCACAGACGCACAGACGCACAGCACAGACGCACAGACGCACAGACGCACAGACGCACAGACGCACAGACGCACAGACGCACAGACGCACAGACGCACAGACGCACAGACGCACAGACGCACAGACGCACAGACGCACAGACGCACAGACGCACAGACACACAGACGCACAGACGCACAGACGCACAGACGCACAGACGCACAGACGCACAGACGCACAGACGCACAGACGCACAGACGCACAGACGCACAGACGCACAGACGCACAGACGCACAGACGCACAGACGCCCAGACGCACAGACGCACAGACGCACAGACGCACAGACGCACAGACGCACAGACGCACAGACGCACAGACGCACAGACGCACAGACGCACAGACGCACAGACGCACAGACGCATAGACGCACAGACGCACAGACGCACAGACGCACAGACGCACAGACGCACAGACGCACAGACGCACAGACGCACAGACGCACAGACGCACAGACGCACAGACCCACAGACGCACAGACACACAGACACACGGACACACGGACACACGGACACACGGACACACAGACACACAGACACACAGACACACAGACACACAGACACACAGACACACAGACACACAGACACACA